CGCATTAGTTCATTGTTAAAGTGGCATATACTATATGTTTGGCATTTTCGGCATATTAACCTCGACTTTACTATCCAATTAGCCAAGTAGTAATTAGCCTGAGATTTTCGTTAAACATCATCTACCACCACCTTTTTAGCATCTACAACTTATTCCGCCTTACGGATCCCCTGGTTGTAAACAGCGGCGTGACCACCTGGCAACTCCACAATCAGTGTAGCCAGGGTTTCCTCCAAACCTACCTAAAAGACATTGAAGCTACCGGTGATATGGATAACAAATGTCTAAGTAAGTTAACTCAAAATCTATACCTAAAGCCCGATTTTCAGCCGATTTCATAGTCCATACGGATTGGCACAACCGGATCCGTATCCAGCACGCCCTTACGAAGTTCTACCTTTGTTTTAACAAGCGCAGAAAATTGGTTACCAGGGTAGGCAAAGCATAAAAATAACCAAGAATTGATTACAGCCTAGCGGACACTCGATTCGTTGCTATTTCCACGAACGGATGTCTGAAAGCGGATATACTGAATTGGAAAGTGTATTCGAAGCCGGGCTCTATGTTGGATTTAACAGAAAAGGCAGCCAAATTGTGAGTAGAATGAATTCTATAAGCTAGGCCCGTTTCTAAACAAACTTCCACATTTTAAAGCAAAAAGAAGTCCAAATAACAAAATCTATCATCATTTCATTACAGGACCCCTTCTCCTATTGGACGAAACGAAAATGCTTCTCCTTCATCAAATTCGAGCGCTACGTCTCGCGGGCAGGATTGAAGCGCTGTGGCAGCAAGCGGAAAAGACACCGTTCTATCGCTATATCGCCACCAAAAATCGACTCAAACCTACACAAAATCATGAAGGAACAGTTTGGGATGAAATTCGGGCATTACATGAAATGTGATGAATATTATTTATGCCGTACCCTGTTCTTTCTATCGATTTGGTGCTGAATTCGTTATTTGCCGAATAAACAAATTAATTCCCCCATTTTATATAACCCTGAAAGAGCAAATATGACAAAACCGGATATTTTTAACTAAACAGACGCGCTAGTCAGGCGGAATAACTTATTTTACAGCGAAAAAGCAGAATTTTAACAAAAACTGCGTCAAATCGGAAAACCCGAAATTGAGTTCCGTTTATTCCTATTGGCACCATAGTGTCCAAGTTGGCGCGCGTACATTGCCGAGTTTCAGAGCCGTTTTTCTTTTTTCACCCATTTCTTCACACTGCTTTTTTCAATTTTAGGTCTTTTAGTTTTTCTTTCTATTTTTTAACGTCATTTTGGATTATTGCCGCTAAATTTGTTTCAGTTTCCGCCAGCACCGCACCACCACACATTGTTGCCCAGGCATGGACCAGCCCTCTAAAGGCTGGCTTTCACAAGTAAATCCCTATTCTTTTCGAAATTTCTCGCTTCAGCTCAAAGCGCGAGCCAAGCCTTCCTCCGCCCGACGTTCGTCCAGATGCTCACCACTCGCCACTTTGGCTGAAGGTGTGTTTTGTATTTATTCGGTTTTCGCAGTTTGTACTGCCGCTTTTGAAACCTTTGCGCTAAATTATGCGCGTATGGTTCTTATTGTGTCTGTATTGAATCACCAATAGTTTAACATTATAGAATCGGCCGCCATCGCCCGTACAAAGTGGTCGCCGGCCCAGCACCAGCTCTCCATCCACCTCGCTGCCGCGCTCTGGCCAGAAAATGAGTACGTTTGAGAGCTGGATGCGTTTAGTTTTTTTATTTTTAGACATCGGTCCGCTCGAGCGCAAGGTGTCAACCCAGCCCGCGCGCTCCATCACGACATCCCGCACAAATGGCAGCGGCAGGGCGAGGCTGGTCTTTCGCAGTATGGACTGCTCGTTTTGCCACAAGCCCATCGGCGGCTTCTTGCTGCACTACGAAAGTGCCAAAGTTGTCGGTCCGTTTGTTTTGGTTTTGCCCTTATTTTTATTCTTTATTTTATTTTTATGTTGTCACCGGGCAACTTTTTAGATGGCGCGTTCACCCGGAGTGCAAGCCGCGCATCGGCGAGTCGTGCGGGCTGACGTCAGACCACCTACGAGCCGCCATGGACGAGATGATCCAGCGCAACAACGAAGTAGATTGGAATTATTTTATTACTTTTTTGTTTAGGACTCCTGGTTTGGAACCAAGCGTAACTCGTCCGTCGTCAACGCTGCGCCGCTCGAGCACCAGCAGCAACATGACCCTGTTGCACATCTACGGTGGAGGGACACTTCGACCAGTGCTCAGGCTCCACCGGCCTCGAAATTGAGAGTAAGCTCTTTTTTAACTTTTTAATCTGTTTTTAGGTGATCGAAGCGCCTCCAGGCCTCATCATGCCAGCTACATTGCTGAAGCGGCTAGCTCGTTCAGGCCGGAATCGCCTATTTCACTCGGTTCCGATCCGAAGAACGCTCGTCGACAAGATACTCGATTACCGGCGTTGGTTTTGTTTTGTGGCTGGTTTTTTTGGTCTTTTGCGCGCTCGAGACAAAACTTTTTCCAGCATCATCCACTCGCCCGCCCCGGTGTCGCCCTCCGTGTTCGACAGCGACTGGAACCTCTTCCACGCTCCCGAGGCCATCGTCGGCTCCTCGTCTTGGACGGACGTGACGATCCCGCTCGAAAGCTCAAGTTCCACAACATCACCAAGTCGTTCATCGGCCGTGGCCGCTTCGGAGTGGTATCTTGGATTTGTTCGGGATCGCAATTTTTCATTCTAGGTCCAAAAAGCCGACTACTACGGCGACGTCGCCGTGAAATTTCTCGACATGGACCACGTTGAACGAGGGCAGCGAAGGGACGAATTTATGAAGTGTGTCGAGAATTTCAAGGTACGGATTGATACAACGGGTTGGACTCTGATTTAGAGTGCTGCCACGACAACATCGTCATGTTCCGCGGCTACTTTTTCGATGAGGGTTCCCCAGGCATCGTCACCGGGCTTTGCCAGTATGGATATTTTCTGTTCTACACTTTTTAGAGGTGAATCGCTCTACTCTCATCTCTACGAGGTCCAGGTCAACTTAAGCCTGTCGACAGCCAACAAATACGCCGTTCAGATTTGCCAGGCATATTTAAATTTTTATTCTAGCTTAGTCTTCACTTTCAGGCTCTCTCCTATCTCCACGCGAAGAACATCATCCACGGAGACCTGCGATCCAAGAACATCTTCGTCGAGCAAAGACGGCGCGTCCTCGTCACTGACGTCGGCCTCTTCAGCATGAAGCGTATGAAGAATCCTCATCGGTCAAATTACTCGTTTTGCTGAATTTCTGAGATGTTTAGAAAATACACAATCATCACCCCGACTTCATGGCTGCCCTACCTCGCGCCGGAGCTGATCACCGAGATTGCCGACGACTTCAGAGAATTGCCTTCCAACGAGGAGACGGACGTCTATGCTTTGGGTAAGACTACGATCTTTGCTAATAACCTGCGTTTTTTACAGTACCATCTGGCATGAGCTTCTCGTCGGGCGACTCCCCTGGTCTGGCAGCCCCCCTGAAACAATCATCTGGCGGGTTGGGAACGGGGTGAAGCCACGCATCCCCAAGGACTGCCCATTTGACGGAATATGGGTAGGCATTCGTTTTCATCTAATTTTTGGAAAAATGAGGGAAAACTGGAATTTTAAATTCTGTGTATTTAGAAAATTAATAGCTTGCGGTTTAGAAACCGTATAACGGCATTACACTCGCGCTATTTTTAAACCTAAAACCTAAAAAGCAGTTCTTCGGCGACTTGTGAATTACGTCTTTTTCAAGGCGGTTTCTTTTCGAAATCATGGGCTTCAGATGTCGGGTTTTGATTTTTACAATATTGTTCGGCAAAGAAAATTTTGATTTTCAGATCCTCTCCGCCTGCTGGTCACGACCCACATCCGATCGACCATCATTCCCCGAACTCCTCCACGACATGCGCCAGATGCCAACGCTCAAGTACGACGCGAACCCGCGTACCAAGAGCTTCGAAAGTATCATCTAGTACCACCCCGCATGTGCCCCCTTTTTGGCCGCGTGGATTGTCCATAATAATGTTAATTACAAACTCACTGTTACGTGCTCACCTTCTTTTCATTCATAGACCCGTTTTTTAGAGTTTCTTCCACCTCCTCCTCGCCACCCATAATATAGCCTGCAGTCTTTTTCTGTTACCTCACTTGGCCTCATTTGTAACTGTTCATCCCCCGTTTTGCTAGCCCTCTCCCATCCCCCCGGTTTCGCAGAGTTTCCCCACGGCTCCACAACTGTAGAAACTGTTGTGCGCTTTGTTGTTGGTAGGGCCAGACAAATTTTTATCCGCTCGCTGCTTGTACACAGCAATAGTTATGCTTCTGCCTGCCATTGTTATAGCTTTACGTGTCCGAATCGTCTGCAATAAAGTATAAAATAATGTGATGCGTAGGAATGCTAGAACCGGAAGTTTGTCTCACAAAGTTCTAGGATAAGTCTTTGTTGAAGCTTCACGGACCCGCTGTAACACGCCGACTTATCGCTGTTGTCGACACTGCCGTTGTTGTCACATGGGCTCGAATTCTGGAATTCTTATACTTGTGGTACAGAGGATTTCAGGGCGGGGTAAAAATACCATACTTCCCCAGTCAACAGCCGCAGCAACGCATTTCCTGATCTTGCGTCTTGTTGAAGGCAAAGTTGACGAGCGGCTGCACGGTGGCGACACCCCAAAGATCTTTTTTGGAACTCGCTTGACGCCCTACCATAGTGGTGATGATCATCACGCCTGGGAAGATCACCGACGTATTCGAACCGTTGAAAAGTAGGGGGCCAGAAGGCGAATAGCACCCCATTTCCGCCGGTGAACGCGCAAATGATGACGCCCTAAAGGTATTTCAAGGGCTGCGGCCACGCCCTCAATTGTAGTTTTAGATGGTTAATTTCTAAGGCAGATGGACTGACACAGCAATGCCATTTCCCCGCCATTACGCTTTTTGCTCCCGACGCGATTTGAGCGTCGAAATAGACCGCGGATATAGGTAAAAAATGGGATATTGGCAAGAAGAATCGTTAAAGGGTCGTGAATGCGCTGATAGGTATCGAACTAAAGCCGGTAAGGAAAACTAAGTTGTGCCTTACGTTATGAAAAAAAAAAAAAACTTTTGCTCCAGTGTGCAAGCATGAAAAATGATAGGTCTGGAAGCCTATTATACAGTTTTAGGAGCCGACCTTCAGCCCGGAATTTCTCCTCACAATCCGTCAACTGCTGCAACTTGTGGTGCCGATAATTCCCAGCGCCCAGATCAGGCCGATAAGTCTAGTTTTGCAATTCATATAAGAGACGGAGAAGGCCTACATTTGTAAAGCCTTTCCGGTAAAGAACCTGTCGTTGATTTTAGGCATGGCAAAAACTGTGGCGGTGTTTAACGTGGCGAATAAGACGAGAATTACGGAGACCTAAATAGGTGGCGTTCAATAGTATAACTTTGTTTATACCATAAAAGTCACATATTCACAAGCGATCCCGATTTTGTAGGAGCCAGAAGAAGGGCGAGTTCAGGTAAAGCTGAATCTTTATTTTAGCTGATTTTCTGATCCTTACGTCACGGCCAGTGATAGTAATAGGAAGCGTTAGAACAGAGATGCATAAAGGCTCTAAAAGAAGTAATTTAAATTTTCAAGTTTTAATGTTTACCTGTACCAAGTTGATAATCGCGTGGTGAAGGTGAAAGCTGTATACAGAGTTGCTAGTGGCCGGGATGTGCTAAGAGTTTTGTTATTATGGATTTCATTGGGAAGTGATAATTTTTAGATATCAGGACGTACTAATACTATAGCCATTGCGATCAGTAGATTGGAGAAGATCATGATTGCCTCTAGCGGGATGTAGATCAGAAACGCTATCAGCCGTTCCTCATAAGGTATCTAAGATACATATAGGTACATTTTTAATAGAAGCATACCGGGGAGAGGTCGTCCATTTGAGAAGTCAGGCGGTACTGCTTCTACTGTCCTTACCGGGTATTCGCGCTTAATCGTGGTTTTAAAACTGCTAAATGAATTAGAAAACGAAACCTCTCTAGTCGATTCAAAACCACCGAAATTCTAAGCTCAGCGTACGAGACCAGGAAGAGAATATCTTTAATTTGCAAGTGATACTCATCGCCAAACATTCGAAATCCCTCATTTCTCTGAGGTTTCGCTCCTCAAAAGTCAGATTTATCGACACGCCCCTAACTGAATTTTTGCCCCTCCTTCAAACCTCTGATTTTGGTCGAAATTTGTAATTTGAAAATCTTAGGGCGAGCCCGGAAGTTCGTTTTGGTTCTTTTTGAAAGCTGAACTTCCTCAGCTTGTTTTTGATTATCTATCGAAGCTCCGACCTTTAAAGACGATGTAAAAACGCTTACGGTAAAAATTTTTGTTCTCCCCCCACCGAGCAACAATTAATAATCATTGGTGGTTTGAACTGTTCGCACGTTGGCCTCTTCTCTAATGACGCTCCCTCGGGAAATCAGACCCTTATTTTTGATAGCCCCCGACTTTTCGGAAGGTTTTTATAGGCGACCCGCGGTCTTCACCCAATTAGGCCTCAGCGCCAAAAAGTCTCTAGCAATTTCCGAGACGCCCATTGTACTTGTGGTGGATTTTTGAGGTTTTCTTGCTAAATTTTACATTGCGCTCATTCACCTGATCCATTTTTAAAGATTAGAAAAATTACGTTGTGCTGCGTGGTTCCCAGCACTATTTTTCACCGCCGGGTGCAGTAATTTTTTGGCCAAAGACAAGCGTAAAATTTTTATCGCGTTTGCCCCATGAATTTGCGCCGATTGACTAATGGACAAGTTGCGGTTGAGTGTCGTCGTCGCCGTCGAGCCAATCGTGTGGATATGGGCTTGGGGAAGTCTGAAAAAAATCGGCTACAGTAGCGTGCAAAAAGAAGGCAACACCAGGAAGCTCTTGTAACTCGGCTGCCTCGTTATATTTTGCACCGTTATATTTCCTAGTGTTTTCGATGCTGTAGAATTCGATGAGCAGGGTCCCAAGCCGCGATAATGACGTTTAGTAGCTTAAATATTGAATTTAAAATAGCTCCAAAAAATCGACTTTTTCTAAAGGCATTTTTCCGTAAGAAAACGAGAAAGGCAAGAAAACGCGGCTTCCCGGCTAAACCAAGTCAAACCCGATCACAAACGACACTGACTTTGGGTAAATCGACCATGCCGAACACGATGGTGATGTTTTTGAGACGGAAAAATGCCTTTAGAAAACGTCGATTTTTTGGAGCTATTTTAAATTCAATATTTAAGCTACTAAAAGCGTCATTTTCCGCGGCTTGGGACCCTGCTCATCAGAATTCTACAGCCTCGAAAACACTCGGAAGCTTATTCCGTTTGGTCCCTGCAAAAAATATAGCCAGGCAAGCCGAGTTACAAGAGCTTACCACAGGTGTGACATTCTTTTTGCAAAATACTGTGTAAGATTTCAAAATGAGTAAAATGGCTGAAGGCCATTAGCAAATTAAAGGCCGAAAAAGACACCATTTCGAAAAGCCTTCCAGCTTTCTCGTTTACCTAACACAAAAATCGGCCGAAGATCCTGAAGAACGCAGCTGAACTGGACTGCCCTTTTGGCGGTGGCCAGATCTAGATTTTGCGGTGTTGATTCCGCAGTAATATCAACGGGTGATGAGCAGAGAATTTTGTATTTCCTTTTTCGTCTTAAAATCGAAACACCCACCCTGGTGGCAGCATTGAGATCAAATGACTCGAACATGCTTTCCGGTGGCCAACCTCTTCGAAGCATTTCGAGTCGTTTTGTTGAAAAACTGGGTTCAGCACCAGTTGAGGATGGCGACCCCCTATAATTAATTCATCCTTTTAACGTTTTGCCGAGGCCTTAAAATAGGGGTTTCTCTCTGCTGATCTATTTGCCGAGCAGAAAAAGTGCAAACTTTTAATGATAATACGTTTTCCCATTTACAACGTTCCCAAAATTGACCAAAATTGTTGGCTTATCGTAATGACCAACTGTGAATAAGCCGTTGCACATACGCTATGGAAATACCCGGTAATTTAGTCACGCGTTGGGATTTTCTGATGTTTTAAGAGATTCTGGATTGTTTATTGAAACAGGGATCTGAGCACCAGGAACCAGAGCGCTGGGAGGCATGGATCTCGAAACGCAAGGCTGAGTCCCAGTGTTCTTAGCCACTTTTGGAAACTCGCGGATCGCGGTTTTGAGAAGTCACTATTGACGTATTGGTACCGTTGAAAAAATGCGGAATGATGAAGGTGAATAAGACTCCGTTACCGCCTAATGAATAGACAAATGATTACACTTTCGAAGTATTAAATCTTTGGGAAAGATAGTCGGATGGAGAGAGAGAGAGCGAGAGAGAGAGAGAGAGAAGAGCGGGAGATATTTACCGACCTGAATCAACCAGCACCAGTTTCTCCTCCACACTCCTCACCTTATAGCTAAAAAATATATTCTTGAATGCTTCAGAAGGTATCGCCAATATATACAAACAGCAAAATATTTCCAATCAAATCGATATTGGGTACCCGAGTCGTTGAAAGGAATCAAACTATAAACTTGGTAATAAAGAGTTCAAGATCTATAAAGTTTCCTACATTATGAAAAAGAAATTGCTGCTGCTGCTCGGGTGTACACGCGTAGTAAAAAGACAGATCTACAAGATCAAAAAAAATAAAAGATAAAATCCCTAGCATACCTTGAGCTCTGAATCCTTTCAAGCAATCCGTCAACTGCTCGATCGTGGTTTCCAACAACGCTGCTAACCAAATTGCCGTGATTAGGCTAAAAAAATGTAGTTTTCAGACCCAAAGCGATTTATTACATTTGTAGTGCATAGCCAGTAAAGAATTTTGCATGAATATGCGGCAGTCCAAACGTCGTGGCCGTACTTAACGTTGCGAATAAGATGAGGTAGACAGATACCTGAAAATAAGCAGATCGTCGTTTTTTTTAGTTTTGGGTCTGGAAAAGCAGGTTCCTCTAGTTATTATGGAAGTTATACAATACAACGTTCATGGCACTACCAATCATACCTTAAAGGTCAAATATTCACAAGAAACGGCGGCCCGGTACAACCACGAGAAGTTGCTTTCCTCATAGATCTTAAACTTTTTTTGATCCTTTTTAAGGTAGCTCTATCGTTCGTTAAAGTAACCCGCACCACCGTGTTATGAAACTTTCACGATCTTTGCTCAAAATTACGAAAAATTCTGCCTCGAAACTACAACCTACATCAATCCCAGTTATGGTAATCGGCAGTGTTAGGACGAGATGCATAAAACCCTAAAAAATAAAATGTTCGCTTGAGAGTTTGCTAAGCAAATCCAATAGTGTGGAAAACTTACCTGAACTAAATTAATAAAACAATGGTGTAGATGAAAGCTGTAGATCGAATTTCCGGTTGGGATATACTAAAACCAAAAGTGTCAGACTTTTTGACACATTAAAAGTACAAAAAAACGTGCCTAAACTTACAAACATTATCCCCGAGGCTATCAACAGATTCGAGAGGTGATCATAATGGTTTCTAATGGGATGTAGATCAGAAATGCGACCAGCCGCTGGTTATACGGTATCTAAAACAATATAGGGAACTAGGGAAAAGCACCTACCGGGGTTGTCATGGCCAGAGAACGGGCCAATGCAGAGTTGAAAAGCTTACCTTCAAAAACAGCTACAGTTTCTAATTCCTAATATCAGTCCTGGTTTGTTGGCGTTGAAAGTGGGCGTGGCTTGAAACGATTGAAGGAACCAATTGGCATAATTATCTCTATGTAAGGCACGGAGGCTGCCACGAAGATTATAGGGGCGAAAAACGGAATCCTTGATCTGTGTTTCTCTCACACACTTCTCTCTCTCGCCCTCTCTATCTCTCTCTTTTTCTGCAATTTTTGGTGTTCATCAAGTGAAAAAGGCTTGATTCAGGCGCAAACGGCTGAAAGGTGCAAACTGGATCTATAGGGTAACTTTCGACTCAAGAATTATTATGCTATATAGAATCATTCACTTACTAAAAAGCTATGAAGGGAACAACAAATACGATCAGGGCTGAAGCCTAAGGTCAAAAAGTTCTTCCAAGGATTTGCTACTTTTCTGGATTCCGCATCCCTTTAAATAAATCAGCCAGCAAAATATTTGGAGTGAAAGCTGCAAATTTAGGAAGTTCGAAGATCCCTAGCGTAGAATTTATCCGAAAAAAGGAAAATGGGTTAATTCAGTTCCGCGAGTGAAGTACAGTACCCCCTTGGTCGATCGGTGGAGTCTGTTTTTAATGCCTTTAAAGATTCCGCAAATCGTCGTCATAATACAACTTTTGCAGATAATTTTTACAACATTCCGGTTACGTACTTTCCAAACTCAATTCGACTTTGAAGATGAAACCTGGAACCGGAAATTAGGCAAAAAACCTTTGCATCCCTGCTACCCATTTCTTTGCCCAAATGCACCAAGTTCCGCATGGTTTTCGGCCAGGAAACAGCATCGGGGTTGATTTCCGGCATTTCCAGTCTTGGATTAGAACTTGTAATGCTTGCAAATCACACGAGGCTTAAAAAGAGAGACGTCAATTGATAAGCGAAGGACGGGTGAGGGAGGTGGGTGCTAAGGTGGGTTGCGCAAATAGAAGCAGATTATTGTTTGGGGTATTTTTGGTATCCAGAATTTTAGAAGAGCCTCTGAATCATCCAAATATGGTTCCTGTTTTGTTATTCATCCTGTTGTCGGCTTTCAAGGGTGAGGGCATAAATTTTTAAGCAAGTTCCATAAAGCTCTAGGAATCCACGGGTTGACTACGGTTTCTTTAACCCCAGCAGCACCTAGTTATTCAATACACGGTGATGACTTTAAGCAACTATCGGTAGGTGTTAGCTAGGCATAAAAGGGTAAAAAAGGTTAGAAGCGTAAAAAAACTGGTTTTTATCCTTCCACGTTCAATAGACCCACGCAAATTTGTTTGAAAGAGCAAAGACAGAGGCATAAAAAGATAAAATAGCACGATTTCGGCCCTACGGCAAAGAGACTTCTGAAAACCTTGCAGTACAACTAAATACCAAATCCTAAAATCCAACGGAACTACCGTAACCGCCAAAATCTAGGGTCTGCACGTCAAAATTGACAACTGCCCAGGATGCAGTATGACGTTGAGCGTGGGTGTACACTACGTAAAGGATGCCGAAAATCAATTCCCGCTACGTGTGGATAAAAACGATAAATTAAATGTGAATAAAACGTCGATTGAGGGGTACGTTTTTAGTTGTTTTGTGGAAAACTGCCGGTTTTAAGGGTGACTGGTCCCTTCAAATACCAGCTTTACTCTTATATGGGACTAGGAAATGAGACACTGCTTGAAATGAAGACCGGGATGTCTGCGTCAAGATTTGCGCTGAACGTTGTCTTATCGACTGTTGTAGGTGGGACTCTAGTGTAAATTTTTACTTTCACGAGTATTGGTAATTGCTGGTCACATCTATTTTGCCTAGATTCAAGCCTTGACAATCCCTTCAAAATCGATAATTTACAAGTTTGCAGCCGAAATCATCCGCCCGTTCGGCATTCACGACATGAAGTCGAACACCCTCAGCCAGGGCTTCAACTCGGGCAGTGGCAATGCCAACAGTACCCATTATAGCGTGGTAATGGCGCCACAAGGGAAACACCTCTACTCCGGAAACTTTAAATATGTGAGTCGACAATTTTTGTCTCGTTTTACTTATCTTCACTAGTTTTAGCCATATCGTTATTGGAGTTGCGGCCTGGAAGTTCATGCTGGGGAGGTGCCAATTGATGATCGAAATTTGATACTATCGATGCCCGAGTGAGCTGTAGGCAAAAAAATAGAGGACCTTTGATTAAGAATTAATCGATATACCGTCAATCAGCTTTGGCGAATGTCGAAAATCACGTTGAAGCTGTATATTGGGCCATGTTGGATAGCTTCGACAATCGACTCGCCACTCAAATGATGTTGAGGTTGGTTTGGCATTTTATAGTATTTCTTTCTTTCGCTCTCTCTCTCTCTATCTCTCTCTCTCCCTCCCCTTGTCTTTCTTTCTAATTTATACCTTTAGGAACATGCAAAGCACACCCCGCCATTCTATTTTGCCGAAAACAGCCTGGACTACCCGGCTAGTTCGAAATTAGGTGTCGAGCGAACCAGGCTATATACTGGTATGGTAATTTCCTGCGTACGCATTTAATGGTGCGTGTTTAGTTACGGATCTACCCGGCCACCCCAATGTCCAGCTCTCGCTCAGCGTCGGTCATTTGGAAGGCGGGGTGTTGGAGCTCTGGCTGACCAAGCAGGACTCGGTGACATTGGTTATGAGTACGGAATATGTACAGTAAGTCCGCGCAGAATTGAAAGTAAGATTTTAGGCTGACCGAGCTGGGACCAGATTTGATTTGCTATCGGGGAGCTGATGAGTTTAGGGTTGGTGTTTCAAACGCCGATTTGAATATAAAAATTACTATTTCAAGACAAACTAAAATTCTACGGATGCGTCGCGGTAGCGTAATGCGACAAAATTGAGCTTTCCAAAATCTTAAAAACTCAGAGTCATTTTATCAGATGAAATGGACACCAAATCCCGACTCTCGCAACAGCAGTTTCTGGTTCCTGGCCCGCGCATGGGCTGCAAATACCTGGGTGCCACCGTGCGCCAACCTCGGCACCCAAAAAATCCACCGCACTGTAAAGCCGAAAAACACGATATTAATTGCCTATCTGCCGGCTTTTGCCCTGGTCTTTATGCTGGAACTGTGTCTCCTCGGACTGTACATCCAGAGGTACGGATTTTGCCAGCAAAGGCGTAATTTGAAAATTTCAGAGCCTGGCGCCAGTTTGCAAAGAATAAGAGGCAGTTGGAGTAAGTAATCAAACAATATATTTTGTATTGATGAAATATTGATTTGAGAAGCGTTTTTTAAACATCGCAATTTAGCGGCTACGTAACGAAACAATGGGAAATCGAGCCGGCATTCCTTGCGATAAAACAGAAAATCGGACGCGGCGCTTTTGCCAACGTACATCATGGGACGTATTATGGACCCTTGCCCTGTATACTTACAAATACGGATTTACAGGTATCGTAAACCGTGTTAAATTATCTGGAGGAGCTACCGTATTCTAAAGCTTGCGAAAGTACATACAATTTCTAGGACCGTTTTCCCGTTGATCGTAAAGATGTCGAAGTAGCAGTAAAACGACCAGCAGAAAATGACAACGCGTGAGTGAGATCAGCTTTTTTGCGCACACCCCACTTTAGCAAGGATTTCTTGGACGAAATTGCATTAATGAAAACGATCGGCTATCACGAGAATCTCCTCTCACTTCTTGGATGCCATGAAAATGAAAAGGCACCCCTCCTACTCACCGAATTCTGCGCCCTTGGAAGCCTCTATGCTAATCTCCTCGAAATGCGACACGCCGAAAAATCGGGAAATATCAGGGATTTGGCTAGATGTGAATTGGCGCTTCCGGATTTTCCGCGGATAGCTAAAGAAGTCGCCAGCGCACTGGTATCTTTTAAAAACCCGAAAAATCCTTTTTGCGCAGAAATTTCTGGCCGATCACAAGCTAATCCATCGTGATGTGGCCTCCAGAAATGTGCTGCTAACAAAGGACAAGATATCGAAAGTAAACTGAGCGGCTTTTTTGAAAGTTGGCTGATTCAGCTTTCTGATTTCCAGGTTGAGCCGTCAATCCGATCTGTTCTCCTCCCACGCCGGACACATCCCCATCAAGTGGAGCGCACCGGAAGCCATCGAATTTGGCATTTTCTCACAGCAATCTGATGTGTAAGTGGCTGAAAAAAAGGCAAAAACCACTGAAAAAACTGGAAGAGCGACCATCAACGAGACATGATAAGAAAAAACAAAGTCAATCATACTTTAAAAGCTTTTTGAGACCCCAGCGGCAATGTTGAAAGGATTCTCGCGTTGCTCTAAATTCAAGCGCTTCCTGGTGGTCTGCAAAAACTAGGCCTGTAAGATTATGCTAATTTCATTACAGTTGGTCCTTCGGCGTTCTGATCTGGGAAATGTACTCCCTTGGCGACTCACCCTACGAAGCCGTAGAACCGAAGCTCATGCTCGAGTCATTAAAAAGAGGACACCGGCTCGATCCACCGGCAGAGACACCAGATGCTTTGTAAGTTTTTATACATATTTTTCAGTATAGCACTCGATTTGCAGACGCTTGCTAATGATCTCGTGTTGGGAGAATCGGGTCAGCAATCGACCGTCGCTCGCCACCATTGTCGCTACGTTACACGCCTATGTACACGGGGATTCGGCGAATTGTGGCTTGTGAATAGTACTGAATAAATTTATACCAATCTGAATTTTGCTGACCATATATTAATGAAGCTGAATTTGCTGGTTTCTACCTCCAAAAGTACAAGATTCGGAGCTACGGAACTCATTACCATTTGATCCTGAGCCGTGCAGGTTTTTGAGGTCCAGGAATCGTAACTCTAGATCCATATCGACAGTACACCACAAAACAAGCGGATTATCGCATATCAAGGGCTTGTGCTGGTTTATCAAGCGCGTCACAACTTCAGAGCTACGCTGCCGGGAACATTTATCTTTTCCTTTTCGCGGGCATCTTGGTTTTCCTTTGTGAGTCGGAAATCTCATCGTTTCAGATAGCCCATGCTATTTTTAAAACTACTGGTTTTGGTTTATGCTGCTCGTAAGTCTCAGGGCATCTTAAAATATAATTAAATTCCAGGCTACGGTCATTCTCAATTGGCAATTAGCCTAAGCAAGGATGTGACGACTTATGTGGAGCATTGCTCGGAAATTGTCAATACGACTGAGGTAGGAGGAGAGTGCTCGCTCTCTCTCTCTCTCTCTCTCTCTCTCTAGATAATTCTAAAATTATTTAGTTAACCATTACCGTCGATTGTGGGGACTGTGATGTTGGGATAACGGTGGGAGATCAAATACCCATTGCAACCCTATCAAACGCCACCTATCCGTTTTTGATCAACAAAAAGGCCCCTGCCAACTTGATTACTACGATATTAAAGTAAGTAGCTTACTTGGAAAAGCATATGTTCACTGGATTCCCAGTCACCTGATCGAAAAATCGCCTGATCGAAAATCTCCTGATCGAAAATCGCCTGATGGAAAAATCGCCTGTGCGAAAAATCGCCTGTGCGAAAAATCGCCTGTGCGAAAAATCGCCTGTGCGAAAAATCGCCTGATCGAAAATCGTCTAATCAAAAATTGTCTAATCGATAATAACTCAAAAGTAGTTTTAACACATGTTAGAAGCCGAAAAAAACCTTAAAGATCACTGTTTCAACTACGACAATAATTTTTTTAGCCAAACTTCCCCAGCCAAGCAAGACTACTTCCTGTGGGAAGCCACACAAACCGGAAGCTTTTCCCTGACCCTCCACAATCCGATGGCTAAATGCGCATTTGCGCTCTACGTCAAGAAATACGTTGATGGTAGTGTTTTATAAAAAGTTGTACAAGTACCGCTTAGTTGCCCTGGTAATTCCAATCCAAATCAATCCATGGCTAGTCGATACGAGTGCTGTTGGGCTACATTATTTACCTATGAACCTGACCGGAGCAATACAAATGACGGCCGTCACTTCAAAAGACAATGAGATCTTCACAGCACTGTTTCATTGGGTAGAGAAATCATCCTTACAAGGTTTAAATTTTCGCCGTCAGACTGACGTCAATCCTTCTTGTATTATGCGGATTTATAACGGGCCCGACACGACGGATAGGGAATCATTGATTGTCAATTTTAATAAGTAAATATATCTATGCTTTTTAGTTAAGGTACATTACGTTTTTAGTCATTCCGATTTACTTCGAATGACGCATTGGAACGGAATGCGAAAGGTCTCCTTCCGAATCGCCGACTCCAGCTGTGCATGTTTCGTGTCGAATCAAAATTTTGCGGATATTCCCGAAAAAGCGTTGACGAGTTCTCATGTCTATGCGATGAGCAAGAACTATCCTTATACGTCGATGGAGGTTCAAACGCTGAATATCCAGATCAATGGTAATCTATCCTAGTGAGGAAAGCGTTTTTTAAGGTGATCCCGCCTACATCTCGTCTAAACGTCTGGGCTACGCGGGTGGCAGCTTGCAAATAGATACCAAATTTGTGGAACGACTAGGAACAGTTTTGCACAGTAAATCCATGAAGTAATGGTTTTGAAAACTGAAAATTGATTTGAATTTACAGCTACACAGCGGATGCTGAGCAAGAAGATTTTTGTTTGATATTGGCAAACATGATTACGGTAAGCTCAATTAAGAGTTTTGAGGCCAGTTTTTTAGCTAACCTGGACACCGGATAAACGACTAACTGACAATCGCTTCCTTGTTGATTTTTATGCGTCGGCTGGAGGGGCCGAAGTTTTGAGTTGTGAATCGGATCGGACAATTATCGAGAGACCGCTGGATTTGGAGCATTTATTCCTGCTTTTCACGATGATTATGCTCCCCATTCCGATTGTCGTCACCCTCGTTTTTCGGTAAAAGGAAAACTAGGCACTTGAATAATGCATTCCTCTAGAAACATGATCAAAAAACGTGACAAGGGCCATGAGATTCAACGATTTGTACGGTTTCAAAAAGTTGTTAGTTTGCTCAAGGATCGGGAGTAAGTGATTTAGGATTTAAGACGCTTATAGGTAACGTGGAAACAGCTAAAAGCCTTTTTACAGTCTCAAAGACGACCTGGCTTGGGAAATTGACATTACGCAGCTAAAAATGGAAGAAATTGTGAATAGCGACGTGAGCTCTGTTATCAAGCGCGCCAAATATTATGGACATCTTCCGTGTACACAGATAGATCCTGCATTAATGGTATGATTATTGGCGTTTGCAGCATAATGGATTGTCGATTCTGGTTAAAATACCCTGTGAACCTTGCCGGCACTGATGCATTTGCCAAAGTCCCAGGCAAACATCAGGAAGACAGGTAATTGCATGGATTTACTTGGACATTAAAAGCCTAGAAAGAACTTTTGGATGAAATTGCCATCCTCAAAGCCCTCGGCCATCATGCCTATATCACAGCGCTCTTGGGATGTTCAACAACCTTAGATCGAGAACTGTTACCACCGAATACGCCGTTTTGGGCGACCTCAGGACTTGCCTGACGAAAGTGCGCAAAATGACTATCGAGATCATGTAAACTTCTAAAGAAAGTTATTAATCTACCCTTTTTAGATGACCGAAAGGGTATTTGGGCTTAAAAACTTTTTAATTACGATCTGGCGCATGGCTGATGCCCTAGTAAGCCAAAATTATGTTAGGGAATCCAGGCTTAGAAATACATATCCGTGCAAAAATTGATTCACCGAAATATCCAGACGAAAATGTATTGTTGACGGCGAATGGAATAGCCAAGGTACAATATTGATGTATGGTGACTGGAATTAGGCCTTTTTGTAGCTCTCCCAGCTTTGTCATGCTGTTTTTTGGGGAGACGGAGGATAAGGATTTCCACAAGCGCACCCACTACCGTATCATCAACTTTTCGGCGCTTGAAACACTTGATGAAGGCTATTTTTCGGAGCGCTCTGATGTGTTAGTTGCAGTTTTTGAATTAAATGCTTGGAAACAAGCGGGAGAAAAGCAAATCTAGTTCCATAAACTTTTTTAGCTGGTCCTTCGGTACCTTAATCTGGGAGATTTACAACTATGGCGACATCCCATATCAATACATCGATCGGGATAAGCTCGTTGTAGAGCTGAAATCGCAGAAACGGCTGAACGTCCCGATCATGATGCCCGGGGATATGTAAGTTTTGTGCTATAATTGAATTTATTTTACTAAATTTAGTGCAACCCTGATGTATAGCTGCTGGGAAGGAGACCCTGATTGCCGCCCTGATTTCAACACAATCACCCAACAACTTCAATCCATGTTCAGCCAAGATCAGCTTCGGGAAAATTACCTCAAGATTTGAGGACGACGGATTTTTGTTTTTCAGTTTATGTGTCGATTTGCCAGTGCTTTAACGTCGTGGATCATGTCTTACACCCACACAATACCCGGAAGTGCTCGAAAATTCCTTGAAACAACACCGCAAAATAAGCGTTTCGACGCATGATCGCCGTGCGTGCGTCAACAACGGTTTATCTGTAAAGCGAGTCGATCTGTAAATACTTGCTGTGTTGCGGACGTGAACAACCTTCAAAGCTCAAATGCGCAGGAATACGACAGTTTATTGACAAAGCTTGTTCTTATCCGGTGCGGCAAGCCCGATTACTCCACAGGCGCTTCTAGCACCGGCGTTTCCGGTCTTCAACGAATCTTCTTGGGCATCTCCTTCTCCTTTTCCTGCAAGCAAATTAAGAATAAAATGACAAAAACCGAGGTCTATGGGTCTCGAGAAATTTTTAAACCTACCCAAATCATCTTCTCCCGCATGTACGACAAGCGAACGCCCGATAATTGAGTTGAGGCCGTAAAGCTTAAGGAAAAATGACGCCTTCCCAAGCGTCAGTTCTCACCATTATTTGATGATCTGTAAAATCAAACTCGGCTATCCCATCCATCGTAGCCAAAACGTTGCCCAGATCTCCAACGTGTCGCTCTTCATCCTTAAATTAATGATGTATCAGCGTTTGTTTTCATGTCTAATTTAGGAATTTGCGATTAGTTAAATACCATTGGTCCACCATGGTTTTTTTGTAGCGGATTAAAATGTGGCCCAGCAGACGTACACCCGTCGGTCGAATCGCCATATTGATGGACGTGCAATCCGTGTTTACCGGGGCATAACCCGCTTATTTTGCCGTTAATGTGCACCGGTTCCTCGCGACAGTTCTCAAAGAAATTTTTATGGTTTCGAAACTGAAAAATCCAGCAGTAGCCTAACCTTAACTTACCGGTTACGAATATCCTAATACAAAAAACAGAAACTCAGATTACCTGTTTGAACCATACGACCCCGTTAACACCTGGATCTCCGTGTAATACAGCAACAGCTCGATTGCTCATTTTCCAGAAGTAGGCTTAAAAACACTCAGAATAATGAAAACTGTAGGTTCTAAATGCTATTGTGGCGTGGTGCGAGGCCGACCTGCGAGGGTAAACAGCGTCAAAAACAGCCTTGCGTGTAGGTGCGAGAGTAAGAGAGAGGGAGAGGGATAAACGCAGAGAAGAAGGCGCTGTTTTCCTCTGATATACATGCCCTTTTTCGAATGCTGAAAAACTTGATGCCGAAATGTTTATCGATTTTTCAGACCGAAAATTAGTTAACTCGAGTGGAAAAGATTATTTCTGCATGGGTTTATAGTCAGTCTTCCGGAGCGGCAAGTCCGATAACGCCGCAGGCCAGGCGACCACCAGCATTTCCGGTTTTTAGCGATTCTTCCTTGGCGTTGCCGGTGCCCTTTCCTGCAAATATGATGTTTGTAGTTTTGCTAAACATGCGAATTCACGATTTCTTGCGCACTTAAAACTATATAATATTACCGAGATCATCCTCCCTTTTCTCATGGACAACCATCGATCGTCCAACCACCGAGTGCTCGCCATGAATTTTGATCATATCGTCCGTCAGCTCGAATTTCGCCTCGCCATTGTTGTCGGCTTCCACATTTCCGAGGTCTCCCATGTGACGGCTTTCTTCCTAAATAAAAATTTATTTTTAGACGCCTGTCAAAAACGTTGCTTTTTGGTATCTTTAAGTTTCACGCAGCTATGAAATACGTATTCCGGGCGTTTGCAAGACGGTCTACTTGGATAAAATTCCTTACATTTGGTCCTCCATGGGTTTTATCAAACGGATTTAAATGTGGCCCAGCAGATTCGCAACCCTTCGTCGAGTCGCCGTAGACGTGGATGTGGAATCCATGTTTACCAGGGCATAACCCGGTGATTTTCCCCCAAATCTTCACTGGATCACCCTCCTTGTCCTAAAATTTTGATATGCAAATTTATCCTATTTTGAAAGGTGCATTAAATTTAGAAATAATCATAAAAATCCAGCCATACCTGTCTAAACCACACGGTCCCCTCAACACCCTTGTCACCGCGAAGCACCGCAACAGCCCGATTGCTCATTTTTATTTAGGTTTGATGTAAAAATATCAGCTTCAGTAGGTAAGTACTTTCCAAACTGAGGCCAGCCAAGGGGTTTCCAGCTTATTTACGCGTAGCTCCGGTCGATGTGGTCCACTAGGGGGCGTCCATTTTTGCCCTCTCCTCTAGTCCGTTTTGCAGAATGTGGTAAACAACCCACTGCGCCCCCCGATTTTTCAGCCAGCGAACGAACACGCGAGGTTTTGAAGGGCACAAAAGACGCGATGAAAATAAGGGATTTGAATATTTGGACAAGTGAGGATTCTCTGTACAATCCACCGGCTAAAAATGAATTACATAATTTAAAAACGTAGCTTTTTAGTTTTTGTATTTGCTTAAAAACTGTTTAGTCATAGAATCCAAATCAACTTTTTTCCTGTCGGCCCTGGTGGGGATAGTAATCAATTATAAAGTGGTTTAATATTGTCTTTGGCAAAATTTAAGCCCATCTGAATCGGAAAAACTTTTAAAAAGTTAGAAAAACGCTTGAAAAAGTCGAAAATTTGGTCATTTTTAGGCCGAAAAAATTGATTTACGACCTAAAATTAATTTTTTTAATTAAATTTTTTAAAGTTTTTATGCCTAGGAATAGCTATAAACAGTTTAGAAACAATTCCACTATTTATATAAAAAATCTCGGATTGGGCCGCGAAAAAAGTTCGGTTTCCCCCGCGAATTCCCCCAGGAATACGCAAGAACCTTATTTTATGTTAGAAAACCAATTATTCTTGTTACTTTTCGTTGTCAATCTTTCTCATACAAAATTGGTACCTGTCTTGTGCGTTGTGTTATACATAAACCTATCCCACTGCAAAGTATTTATTAAAAAGAAAAACCCACAAAACACGGTCAAAATACAATTCTCGGCTCATTATCGGCCGACAATTCGATTTTGTGCACCAAAGGGCGTGTGTGAGCAATTTTCCGCCACCCCGTTTGATAGGGAAGGTCTGGTGGGTCGGGGCGAGAATAGAATACTATCCTCGGGTTCTTCTCTATCGAATATTCTGATGCTGTGTGTACGATCACTCCATAGGCCAACCGACCATCAGAATTTCCGGTTTTTGGCGGGTCTTCTTTAGCGTCGCTGGGGCTTTTTCCTAAATATTTTGTGTTTAGTAACAAATAACATTCAAAATTTTAATTTTTCTGGAATTTCTGAAATTTGGCATTTTCTTAAATTGTTTAAATGGTGCTCCCAATCGTGTAAGATGAAAATTTAGAAACGCGGCTTGGGGAATATACCTGGATCATGCTCATTTTCATACAGAACTATCGATTGGCCAATCACGGAGCCCTTTCCATGAATTTTAAGCATATCTTCCGTCATCTCAAATCCGGCCTCTCCATTGCTGTCGGCTTCAATATTACCCAGAGAGCGCATATATCGGATTTCTTCCTAACATGCATTTTATGTCTGTCAAATTTACATACAATCGGCCCTCTGTGCGTTTTATCGTCCGGATTCAAATGCGGTCCAGCAGACTCCCAGCCATTCGTCGAATTATCGCAGCCGTGGATGTGCAACCAATATTTTCCAGGGGATAAGCCAGTGATTTTGCCAGAAATCGTCACCGCATCCTCCTTTGCTTGACCCTGAAAATTATTTTGCGTTTGCGAAATTTTTGTGGGGGAGATCCGGCGTAACGGCAACAAATTATACAAGAAAAATTAATAATTTTTAGAAAGTCATGGAAAAGTGAAAATCGAAAATTTTTCAAAACCAATTTTGAACCAACCTCCCTAAACCATACGGTCCCCTCAACTCCCATGTCGTTTCGAAGTACAGCAACAGCTCGATTGCCCATTTTTTAGAGTCAATTGAACGTCAAAGTAACGTCTGTTAGTGGATGAATATTCCAAAAACCGTGGCCCAACTATGGTTTTCGCCAGCCTATTTACTTCTTGCCCGACCAATGGTCCGTTAGGAGGGCGTCCCTCTATCCTCTAGCCCAGTCCTCTCTTTTCCGAATGTTGTCAACACCCTCTTCGCGATCGCATATTTCGGCCCCGAAACACGACGCAATGTTTCGCCGAAAAGAGCAATTTAATGCGATGCAATCACATTATTTAAAAAAAAGAATAATGCCCTGCGTTGGTTTTTGACTCTTTCTGTAAGCGGATATTATATTGGAGAAAATTTACCACTGCAAACTAACTAAAAACACCAAGTAGTAGCACTCTTTTTTTTGACCCACGCGGTATCAATGGGAGAATTAAGCAGTTGTGTAGTGTAGATTTCTAATTAATCTTCAGGAGCTGCGTGCCCGATCACCCCACAAGCGAGACGCCCACCGGTATTGCCGCTTTTCAACGATTCCGCCTCATCGTGGCCTGGTGCCTTTTCCTGAAGCGGGGAATCGGTTAAAACACCGCTGAGAAATACCAAGATCATCCTCCTTTTCATGAGTAACAATCGACCTCCCAATCACCGAGTCTTCGCCAATGGATCTTTATTATATTATCTGTCATCTCAGAACTTTGCCTCGAACCATTGCTGTCCGCTTCAATATTGCCCAGATCACCCGCTATGACGTCGGACTTCCTAATTTTAAAGTTTGGTCTGCTATATATAAGTTTCCTCATATCTCGGCTACGCGGGGTACCTACGCAAGGACGGACTGTTGGGCCGAGCTAACTATTTTTTTGCGTTTCTTTGGCTACAAACAAACTCTTAGTATTTTTTTGACGCTCTGTCGAATGGCACTTAAAGAAATTTTGTAATAATGTCGAAAATGTCGAAAATTTGATTCGCTTCTATATCCTCCAAGAAAACAACGTTTAATACTTTTTTTTGTTATGTTGTTTTTGCTTTAATATTTATTTATATTATGATTATTTTGAGCTAAAAATTAAAACTCTTAGTATATTTTGAATGCTCTATCGAATGGCTTCTTTAAAATGTCGAAAAATATCGCGAATATCGAAAAACAGCCGCTCAAACCGATTTTCAAAGCTTCTTTTTGTAATTGCCAATACTTTTTATATTGGCACTAATTTTAGCTAAAACAAAAACTTTAGTATATTTTCGTAGCTCTATCAAATGCTGTTACAGTGAAAATTCCGAGAAAATAACGAAAACATCCAAAAAGGCCTGCCTGTCCCGTCTCTTGGCGTAAAATTCCTCTCCTCTCTCTCCTAGTCGACATATACTATAAGTTTGCCCGACTGGGAATTCAGCCACCATGCATTTAAATTAGAAATTCAAACTGTGCCGGAGGGGAGGCCAAACGCTGAAACGTTGGTTATTACCCTGTAAATCCTGAGTATAATCCGGCACACTTTCTCAACGTAGCAATACAGGGGACGTTCTATATGTGCGTCCCCGGCTCCTTGACCGCAAAAGCTATGTAAGCCAAACGAAGCGGTTCTTAGGACTGCCTTTCCGCATCAATTTTTTTCATTAAAGCACTCAAATGCTGAAATAGTCCACATCTGAGCAAATCTTCAATCAAAATGGCAAAAATACCTTTCATGAACGGACTTATTTGCGAGAAACCGAAAACGACTCACACCTCTTTACGGCCATACGGAATTACGAACGCTACGTACTTCACACCCGGTACTATACAAGTAGTGGGGGGACTATACTCGGGATTTTAGGGTATATTGTAACCGTAGTCGCATTTTTTGTTTTGTTTTGAGGCAGATTTAATCAAATTGACATACCTTTGGTCCTCCATGAGTCTTTGCATCCGGATTCAAATGTGGTCCCGCGGACTCACAACCCTTCGTCGCGTCGCCGTAGACGTGGATATGGATTCCGTGCTTGCCTGGGGCTAGACCAGTGATTTTTCCACAGATTTTCACAGCATGGCTTTCTTTGTCCTTAAAAGCTTGTAATAAGTATCATTTGTTATGTTATAAAATGTGATTTTGCAAGATTTGTCAAATTTCTATAGACGTTCAAAGGTGTGAACATAATCAACACTTTCTAAAGCAACCAAAGGTGTGTTTTATTCACAAAGCGTGTAAAATTCCACAGGCTATTGACCGCGAATCAAAAATCAAAAGAAAAA